AGCTGCTCTTCTGTCCAGGGGACACGGAGGGGTACGGGTGCACCAGGGCCTTGGGCTGCTCTGCTCCCAGGAGGGAAGTGCCCGGTGGGGATTTCAAGGAGACGTGTGGGTACATGAAGACATACGGGGCCATTGCTTTGCTGGGGGTCTGGGGAGGAGTGCACGGGGTGACTGCCGGCGTCCCGGCACATTTCTGAGCTGCCGGCCGGGCGTACTGATCCGTGCCTTCGGGCAGGTTCCTCTCCTTGAGAGGACTGCCCCCGCCGCCGTTGGCATAGCCGTTCAACCCCTCGGGTGACACAAGCTTCCCGTGGGGCTCGGGACTGGGTTGCCCCCGCAGGCTGGCGTGGGGCCCCTTGATGCGGGGTGGCGCGCAGGGCTGCCCGCCACTGCTGCTGCTGCTCTCCCCGCTGCCCAGGCTCTCCTGTGAGGGGCTGGAGAGGTGCCGGGACAGCACGTTGTCCTGAGAGTGCCCCGAGCCCCGGGACCGCACCCCGATGCTCTCCTGGCTCCGTGACATCCCCTGGCTGCTCTTAATGCCCAGCGTCTCGTGACAGCTGTTGGACATGGCCGTCTGGAGCTCATAGCTGAGCTCGCTGTCCTGGAAGGTTGTCATTTTGGGGGTGTGTGGGGACTGGCACTCTCCATTCTCCAGCGACTCGATGGTGACAATATCCAGGGCACCGGGAACTTTGCGTCTTGCCAGGGTTGCTTCTGCTTGGTTGAGGCTTTTGCGGAGGTCTCTGAGCTTCTTGACAGCCAGCATGATCTTCTTTTGGTGGCCTGTGCAAAGGTTGTGACAGGAAAGGGTTTTTAGGTCAGCTCTGGCCCCCAAGGCCTTTGTTTCCTGGCCAAAAAGAGTCATGGTCACGTCACCAACAAGGGCAAAAGCCTCTGGGTTACTGAAACCCTGCCTATGGGAGGAGACAAACTACGGCCAGCATCCACCTGGCTCAGCCTGGCTCCAGCCTGCCAAAGGAATTCCTTGGGACAGCCCAAGGGACAGCTGTGAACTGCCCTTTCCAGGTGCTCAGGACATGGCCTGCACCTCCCAGCCTGAGGGAGAACAGGGCATGGGGACCTGGGTAGGAAACCTGGCTGCCAAACCTGGCTGCCCTGGACCACCCCAGCCCAGTGGCAGGGACTCACCCAGTTTGTTGATGCCAATCTCTTGCAGATCCTCCCACGTTAGGTCTGTCACGATGGTGATGGAGTCATAGCCATTGTTCACCAGCTTTTTGTGGTACTGGGGCAACCCGATGGCACTGAGCCAGTCCATCAGGTCAGCCTGTGAAGAGCACAGAGACGCTGCTGTGAGCACTGAGGCATGGGCAGCACCTTCAGCCATCCCACCCTGCCCCTAGACAGGAGACCACATTCTGGGCTCTCTCTACACAGGCCGTCGCAGCCCACATTTGCTTCCAGACCCAGCTCCTGTCCTGTCCTGGGGTAAGACAGGTCTGAGAAAAGACCTGGGGAAAGAGGGTGCTGGCCCAAAGCCCTGGAGCCAGGGACTCACCGGGATGTAGTTGGGCAGCCATTCGGCGATGGTGAGCTGGCTGATCTCGGTGGAGATCTTCTTCCTATGGCCCGGCTTGGTCACGCCGATGGCTGTCAGATCCTAAAACGTGCAGAGTGGGGCTGTGGTCAGCAGTGGCACGGGGGGCATGGGGCAGCAGCTACCCACTGCAGTTGGGGGGGTGTTGGCCAGGGGGGGTGACCTGCCTTACCTCCGGGGTCATGCGGCTGATGGTGGGGACGTCGTAGCCGGCGTTAAGGAAGTTGGCAGTGTACGACTCCAGCTGGAACTCACTCAGCCAGTTGTAAATGGCTTCTGCGTCCTGGGGAGAGGATGGGGCAAAGAGCAGCTCGTGAGGGTGGCTGCTGGGGCTGGAAGGATCTGGCTGCTCTCCTTGGAGCCTTGATGGGCTCTCCTTGGGCAAGACTCGTCTGTCCTCACTGTCCTCAAGACCCCGTCCCCTGTGTCCCCAGTGCAGGGCCCCAAGTGTGGACCTTCCACCCAGCTTCCCCGCTGGCCCAGTTACCTTCCCCTCGAGGAGCTGCTCAGGCCGCAAGTACTGGTGGGAGAAGCCCCTGTCTCCAGGGGGGCAGCTGCCTGGGGTCTGGTGGCTCTGTGGCCCTGGCAGAGAGGAGGGAGGAGAACCATTACGGGGTCACCAGAGCAGCGAGCAGTGCCCAGGGCCAGGGATCAGCTGTCCCCAAGGCCTCATGGAGCTGGGACAGCCCTCACCTGCAGTGGAGGTCAACTGCCCATTGCGTGGCTCCGATCCCAAAAGCTGCTGCTGGAGGTCATCGCCAGCGGAGGGCAGCGGCTGGGGGAGAGGAGGAGTGAGCGGAGAAGGGAAGGGACCCCCTCCGGAGACAAGCCCTGTCACACCCTGGGAGCGGAGCGAGGGTCCTTGTGCTGGGCTGCTGGGCACAGCATCACCCAGGGAAAGGCTGGACCCCAGCAAGAAAACTGGGCAGGATTCGGGCCAGGGCCCTTTTCCTCTTCTCGGATGACATAGGATACGGTGGAGATGCTGCATGGTACCAAACAGAGCCTGCAGCTCCACCCAGAAAGACCAGCTGTGCTATGGAGGACAACTGGGGACCCCTCAGGAGCATCTCCCCACTGAGTCTTGACAGCAAATAGGTGTTTGGTGGAGGACGCTCAGCTCCTGCAGCCCCCCTTCACTGGGAGGTGCAGGGGGTGACAGGGGCAGGATGGGGGGGAGCAGCACGGGGGGAGCAGGGGCCAGCACCTACCCTGGCGTTCTCGATGAGGATGCTGGTGCTCTGCCCGTTGGTGCCCTCGGTGCTCTGGCCGCTGCCGGCACTGCGGATGCTGCCGATGC